AGGGGGGAGGGAAGACATTTCTGCTCTTCCCCCCTCTGTCTCGCGGCGCCTTGTGTTTGTTGACACTGAACTCCGGGCTGCCAGGCGCCTCTCCCCTCAGCTGGGCTCCCCCCGGCCTGCTCTGGTTTTGACCCATACTTTGTTCTCCGTCAGTCGCCCTTCCCTGCTCACCATGCTTACCCGCTCATTAATACAAATGCTAACCCGCCTTTTTAAGAAACAAAGCAACTGCTCAGACCAATTCTTCACTTTCCACCTTCTGACTGATTTTTGATTAATGATAAAACGCAGCAACTTACCCCATGCTGCCTTAGTTGCTTTAAAGCCCTTTTGAAAATTGAAATCTTGTCAGCTGGCTTAGGAGACCAGTGAGCTACCAGGGCCTCATACAGTGCATAATGCTTCATGCATCTCCTGAAAATATCTCTCCTGACACACGAAGGATGGCCTTTGCCTTTTCTCGTAACCGCATTGTGCGCCTGGCCCCTTGTCTTTCCCTGCTTGAATAATATGTCCAGAGTTGAAGGAAAGTATTTCCCCCAGGAGCCAAGTTTGAACGACTAAAGCTAAACTAGAAAATGGGAGAAGGTTAGAAATGTGGAAGGATTAATTCCTGTTGTACGCAGACATTTTTTAGTTTCGTAATGTGCTGATGTCTACTTGTTTTCCAACGAAAACTTTTTTTTAAAGTACTTTTTGAGGTGTATTATTTATCTCTAAGAAGTTTGAGACTTAAGAAATAAACCTTGCTTTTGCGGATGAGCTAAAGGACTTCCATTTTGGTGGAGTGCGTGGGGATAATCCAACGGCTCCAAATGACTTTTTCTGTGGTGCAGATGCACTGATGTTCCGGTCAGGCTTTGCCAAGCTGGTCCTTTTTCCCTTTCTCATCTCTGGTTTGATCACTGACACAGCAAACCTGTCCTTTTCCGGCTGTAGTCTCATGCCTGAGCTTACGAGGACAGTTGTGCCAAGTGAAGATGAGAGGTGGGGTCTGGGTGTCCCTAATCCCTTCCCTGTCGCAGGCCTGCCGGGGGAATCGCCGCTGGTGCGAGTGCTGGAGGACGAATCCCGGAGCCGCCTGGGCCGCTTCAACCAGAAGGACGTCTCCATGGTCTTCAGCAGCGTGATGAGGCTGCACCCGTCCAGCCCCCACCCCCTGGTCGAGTCTTGCCTCAGCAGTTTGGAGCGGCACCTGGAGAAGGAGCGCCATCCCCAGACCCTCTTCCTGCTCCTCTCCTACTACCGGGTGCGGGCGCAGGCGCTGCAGGGACACCCGGCCTCCGACCAGCAGCTGATCAACAACCGCAAGATCCTGCGCCTCGTCAGGCACACGCTGGGGCAAGTGAGTGCCATGCGGGAGCACGAGCTGGCCCTCTTGGACGAGATGCTGGCTCTGTGCGCCCAGGAGGCGAACAACAAGGCCCTGGAGGCCATCTTCAGCTCTCAGCTCTTCTACGAGAACCGCCAAGAGCGATTCATCCGCAGTATGGCAGGTGAGGGCAGGGTCTGCCCAGGCAGGGTCCCAGCCTTGCCCACGGTGTGAGCCTCTTCCCCGGTGCTGGGTGCGCTGGGCTCCGTCCGTGCACTTGGCAGCCTTGGAGCCTCCTTTCTTGGCCCCGGAGGACATCTGGGTTTGTGACAGCACCAGCTGGGGCCTGGTTCAGCACCAGGGCCTGCAGCAGTGAGGCTGGAGCGGGAGATGCTCTGCATTATGGCCGCCCTGTCACTGACTTCCCCGCCTAGCCCTTCCAGGGGCTGTGAGCCTACCCTACCTCAAGACTGGGAGCAGGTTGGTTTTGGTGGGGTTTCTACAGAAGGGCCCCCATTCTGTGCACGTTCTAGCTGTGCTCCAGCTGTGCCTTCTGGGTGCACGGGAGAGAGATCTGCCCCAGCCTCTCACAAGCCCCATAACTTGATGGTTTCTGGAAGCCTTATGGGTTTCAGGAGAGATGGCTATGCTGCCCAGGTCTTGTTATCTCCCACCTGCCTGCACTGCCTTTCCTGCCCAGGCTGTAGTGGCTTCTGGAGAACTGCAGTTCGGACAGAGCCAGGCCCCTCTGACGGATACCCCGCTGTGGTTTGCTCTGTGCAGAGTGGCTCCCCAGGAAGGCAGAGAACCTTACCCCCTACACCATGGCCCTCATTGCCAAGTACGTGGCCCGGCACCGGCTGCGTGAGCCACGGCTGCTTGATCCCATCGCAAACTTTCTCCTGAAGCGTGGGGAGCAGCTCGACAGCAAGGTGAGTGTCCGCTCCAGTCTGCGGGGGACGCTGGGGCTGGGGCTGGGGCTGCCCTGGCACTGGGGGAAACCACGTCCCTTCTCGGCCGTCAGGCTGAGGCATCTCGCTGGGGACCGACCGAGATGTGCCCCGATCCTTACGGGTTCTGAGAGCCTGTTTCTGCCCGGCTCTGGGCAGGCCTGGGCCTGACCTGTCCTTCGTCCCGCTGCCTGGCCCGGCCCAACTCCCTCTCCTCCTGCCTGCAGGTGATCCAGAAGCTGGTGTTTCCCTTCAGCCGCATGAATTACCGCCCATCCAACCACAGCGAGCTCTTCCCCAAGCTGGAGGCCATCCTGGAGCAGAAAGCCGGCAGCTCACCCCTGGCGACTGTCAAC